GCTGTGGCTGAAGTGATAGAGTGCTCACCTTGAGCTGAAGAGCTGAGGGACAGCGCCCAGGCCAAGTTCAAGCCCCACTACTGACAAAAAATATAATAATAATAATAACAATAACAATAACATACATACATACTGAAACCAACTCCAAGATATAGAAACTGTTAGTGCAATATGCTCCTTTCCCACAGCTTAGCATACCCTTCTCACTGGGCCCATTTGGTACCAACAGTAAATAATCAGCCTCCACCCACCTTTACTTTGAGACGGCACTCCTTTGGGGCAGTTACAACCATACAACCATACAAAGCAGTAAGATCCCCTTAAAGTCACCTTCAAATCCGGGCAGCTACAAGACCCCTGATTTGCCACTTGGGCAGCAACCATAAATCTTAGCCTGCCATGATGAAGCCCCTAGTCCACAGGTCCACACCAAGGTCTCTGCCCTAAGCCTCATGGGTTACATAGGTCACCTTAGACAGTAGCCTATACTACTTCTGTCTTGTAAGAAGGGGTCTTGCTGGTCCTTCGCTGGCAATGCACTTTGCGTTGTTCTTTGTGCCTGGATGCCGGTGGTTTTCTGGCAAAGTCTAACAGAAACCAAGCTTTTTCTTTTTCAGTTTGTAGTTTTTGATGATTCTGTGTTCTTTACCTTATAAACAATGTATTCACGTGTATAACTTTGGGAGCGGGAGGGGAGGAAGCAGAACTCAAGGGGAAAAGGGTGAGAAAGCGCAGCAGTGGATCTCACTGGACATTGGTGAAAGTGAACGATACAACTTGTGGGTAGAGATGGCAGGGAGGGAGAGAATGAAGGAACAGAAGACACTGTGGGAAAGGAAATGTACTCATCACTCCTGTAAATAAATGTAACCCCGTGTAAATGTAATGTATTGTTCTATAAGAATAATAAAGTAAATTTTAAAAAGCAAACTGGCTGGGTAAAATTACATCCAACATATACATTTGAGAAGCGTTTTCTTGGTTTTTGTGTTTGTACGTGTGTATTCATTTCTTTGTTTGAGGCAAGGTCTTTTCTGTAGCCCAGGATAGCCATG